GAGATGAGGCTGGTGGAAAGAAAAGTAGGTTTCATTCCAAAATGTCAGCATTAAGGGAAGACAGTGGACTCCCTGTCACAAAGACTGCCTCCCTCTCTCAATGTCGCCAAAAAGTTTTATAGACAAACAAGGAGAGTCAGAAAGAACAAAGGAAAAGTTGGCCAGGCAATTTCAGGAAAACGCGCTTCCCATAGGCTGGTCTGCCTCAGGGTCAGGAGTGAATCCCATACAGAAGCAAAAACCCCTCCCAACTTATCAGGCCAGGTGTGCACACTGGTCCAAAGGAAACAGAACCACTGAAACTGGTATGCATAGTAAATGCACAGTAAACAAGAGTCATCAAGGTTTGGGGGGAAAAGAGGGAAGCAAAGAAAAGGAAAAAAACTTTCAAAAAGTCCCAAGCCAAACCACTGTCAAATCGAATTACATCAGAGGTCCAAATTTCAAAAATAGAAGATATAGGGTCACCGTTACCCTGCCTTTACAACACTACAAACCCAGGAGATTTTCAAAAGTTTTAAAGTCTGACAATACCAAAACAATGTGGAACCTTCAAATGCTGCTGGTAAAAGCAAAAGCACTAATTGATACAATTGCTTTAGAAGTTAGATATTACCTAGTAAAGAGGAAGATACACATACTCTATGAGCAAACAATTCCACCCCTAGATGTATCCTCAAGAGAGATCATACACATGTGCAATAGGATACATCTACAAGAATATTCATGGGGTATCTATTCATAACAACAAAAAACATGGAACCCAAATGCCATCACAGTAAGAGACATATAACTGTGGTATACTCTTACGATGGACTACTCCACAGTAACATACTATAGAGATAGATACGCATCAGCATAGATGATGTAGCAAAACAAAGTCACAAAAGAACACACGTAATATTCTATTTATTAAATAGAATTTAATACTCCATTAAATTTTACTTATTAAAGTTTATTTGTATTTTCTTTTTTAGAGTATTTTTCAGGCATGTAGACATCAGTACTATTCAGGGTGGTCCACAGACCGTACCGAACTGTTACTGGCTAGTGACAAGGTAGCACATCAAGTGAGAAGCAGCATGCATAGAAAGCAAGCATTTAAAAAGGCTGACAGTGTTTGTCATTGCCAGCACATTCAAGCCTGAGGTTTGTATTTACAGAAGTATTGGTTTGTGATGTTTGGGAATTATTTTAAAAAGTAGTTTGAGAACTATTATACATAACTGGTGAAAATAGAAAGAAAAATATGAAAATTATTTTCATTACAAGCAGAACACTGGTTATCTCTAGAGGAAATTCAGCGATGTGATCAGGAAGATACATAGCAACCTCCTGTGGTGCTGGCGAAGTTGTATTTCTTAAACTGAGCATTGGTTGTGTTGGTGTGTGCTTTATAATTTTACTTCTCTTTAAACTGTGTATGTTTACTACCCTCTTCTGTATTAGGGCAGATTTCATAATTCTTAAACATTTAAAAATTATAAACCAATTTTTAATAAACATATACTTTTATCTATAAAAATAACTGAAATACATTAAAATGGTGGGATTATGGGTGAATTTTACTCTTTTAATTATTTCTCAAATTCTTATGCTGCCTTTTCAAGGTAGTAGTAATCACTAGTAATTACCAGCATTAAAAACAGGTTATGCCAGGCCAGTGTTACCTCTGGTGTATCTTGATTCCTGCAAGGAAAGCAATCATTCCTAATGATTGTATCTTGTGGATAAAAATGGAGAAATGCAGACTGAAAAACAGTGCATTTGGTTGCTTAGGGATAACATCCCTGTATTTTCCTCCAGAATTTGGAAACAACTGAGATGGAGAAGTCAGATCACCTTTATTTATCAGCAACGTTAAAGAACATGTTTTTCCAACCTGTAGCAATGGGACTGGCTAATAGTACATACCCCTGAAGTAGAAGTTACTCCACTCAATGGCTGCCCTAACTAGACAACCATGGACCGTCCCTGTGGGTTGACAAAATTAAACTTTTTGGGATATGTCTTTTGATATATATTTTCTTCCTCCTTTAGTACCCAGTAAATGTCTTAGCTCCTTCAAGTCCATTCTGCTTCATTACTTACGTAACAATAGTTGCTCATGTAGCTATCCTGTCTCGTCAACTAAGTTATGTTCCTGGAGGTCAGACTATCTTCAGTTTTGAAACTTCTAGCAGACTATCATGTACATTATCGACATTCAAACTTTCATATTTGTGTTACGTAATATAAGAGCCATATGAGTAGAGGCCAAAGTAAGAACTTCAAAACTGAAGATCAAGAGACTAGAATTGGACCAATGATAAAAACATAGCTATTTATTAAATGATGTATATCACAGGCAGTGATCCTAAGTGTTCTATGAACATCTCATTATATTCTCATTATAGTAGATACTACTTTAGTAATAGGTGAAGAAACAGAAATATAGTTAATGAAATCATTTGAGTGAAGTCACACCACCAATGATTTGAACTTGACACTAAAGCACTGAACTGCTATTGCACTAAAATCAAGAGGGCTAAGCCTTTAAAGATCTAGCCTTCACTGGTGTTTGTAAGGCAATACTGTCTGGTGGTTGAGAAAGAGGGCTCTGGGGCCTGACTGGCATGGTTCATATTAGACTCAGCTAATTACTGTGATACGGACAGGTTTCTCAACCTCTCTATGACTCTGTTTCCTTATCTGTAAAACGAGAATGTCCTTAGTTCATAGGATTATTGCAAAAATGAAATGTATCAATACAAGTAAAATACTCAGCACAGCACCTGGCACAGGGAAGCATTCATTAAAGTTAACCTGTACTTACCATTATTTCTCTATTTTTGTAGAATTATTCCCAGAAATTGGAATATCCCCTATGACATTATAAAGGGAAAGAAAAAAATTGAGGCAACTTGGCATTATACAACCTAAGGTTAATGTACTTAAAAGTTAAGAGCTTTTTAGGGAACTGAAGGCTTAACTGCCTTTCACCCAAACTTTCAGTAAGAAATGCGAAAAGGTTAAAAATGAGGCAGTTTATAGGTGGGTACAGATTTCCCCTGCTATTGGAAAGGACAGCATTCCTTTCATAAGTCAAAATGGGGTAAAGCAAAGAAGCAATTACCATTAATTTATATGGAAAATTTTAAAGCGTTCCCAGTCTACAAATCACCCACCAAATAACACATAAAATCTAAAACAACACTAACATTTAGTAACAGCAGTGCCACCCTCCCTGCTCCAGGTGCAATAACGCCTCTGTTAACAGCTCCCTGCAAAACTAATATTGAATGCTATTTTCGCTTTTCTCCTAAAGGAAAATCCTCTTTGGATTTTTCAGTTAGTGCAAACAGGTACATTTAATGTAGACCTTTTGTAAAAGTGAATTGGTATCAAGTGAACTTTTGAAAAGTGAGGGATACCTGTATTTCTCTTCTTTAAAAATATTTAAATCCTGATAGAAAACAAGTCAGTTTGTGGAAATATTTTTTTATTCTACAAGGATTGGTGCAATCCTACACAACCAACATCTGTTTAGAGAATTTTTTTCTTTTCAAAAGTAAAAGGAAAACCCCTTTGGATTATTTATATATTAATTTGTTTAATTTTTGAAAACAATAGTCATAGGGTCTGCTTGGTCCTATTATCAACGTTACACATTTACAAACTGAAGCAAAAATGGATAGTACAAAGATTTAATGAAATCTCTCAAGGAATAAAATTGCTTCTCAGTCCACTGTATTTTCAAAGTTGATTATCATCAAGCCAGAATAAAAGTTATGAACCACAAACCATGTTTCTTTAAAAAAAAAAAAGTTAGCTTATCTTATAATGTACCTTCACAGTTGAAATTTTAGTATAAACCAGTATATTAAGTCCCTTTCCATTATTTATCCTACTTTAAAAATATATACAGCTAATAATGTTTAACTATGTATTCTGAGCCATATGTCCAAACATAAATATTTGGGAAATTCAAACTGTTGCAACAATTTATGAAAGGATTAAAGAAAAAAGATGAGCTACAAATTATATAGTAGGAGGAAGGAAAAAAGTTTACGTAACATTTATGTCTGGATAGATATGTATTTTCTAATTTATATATATACATACCCAGTTGAGTATTGACAGCCATGAAACGTTAACCAATTACATACAGAGTAAACTAAGCCTGTACTATTTTCTACAACAGGGAACAGTGGTGATTTCAAACGTTTTAATATATCTCTTAATAGTTTCATCAAAAGTTATTTGTAGGAATAGTCTAATATGACATTTTGATAGGCACAAAAAAAGTAACTGCAATATCTATACCAAACTCGGCACACTGATGGCACCTGGCTCTGTTTAATGGTCTAAGGATCTGAACACAACAGAGCAAATAGGTAACCAGAAAGGACATTTAACATACACCCATGCTTATGAATCACGTTAACATCAGTGTTGAAAATGTTCAAATCTAAATATAGAGGGACACTTATAAAGCTGCAGGGCAATTCCAATATAAGAATCCAAATAGATAAATCTGCAAAATCTTAAACTTCAGTTCTTAATCCTTGTTTAGGATTATCTATTTGTTCTTCCAAAATTTTGGAATTAAATGGTTGAAAACATGTTTATCCCTTGCTACATTGTAGCATTTGAAACTAGCCAGCATGACAACTTGAATTCCTTTGCTCTTACATGCAATAGCATATATATGCATTTTAAGACAATTTAGAATCCAGTTAAATTCTAGTCAGTAGTGATTAAGTGACTAGAGTGGCTATCCAATCAGTATTCCATACCACATATCAAAGTCTTTATGAGTCATGTTCAGCACTTACCACTTTTGAGTGGGGGAGGGATGGCAAAAGCAGTTGCAAATTTTTTTAAACAGCAGGAAAGCTTCAAACACCCATACGATTTTGCATCATCTTGTACTCTATTCTAGAATACTTGGAACAAAATCTTATTTCAATCAGCTCAATTGATGCAAGTTATAAAATACAAACACAGTCTAAACCCTATAGTGTACAGAATATGCATTATTTAATATTCATTAAATGTAGTACAATCAATGAAGATTATCAAATAAAACACACACACATAACACTCTAAATTTTTAAATCGTAGGGCTGCCAACCAGAGATTGTACAAATTACATGTACAAGACAAAAAAAAAAAAAAAAAAAAAAAAAAAAAAAAGAATAAAAGAAAGAAAAAACAACAACAAAGAAATTAACTTCTCAGTGCATCACACCCATCTGGATAAAATGTATGGCACTTTTTGATACTAATATTACAACTGTCAAAATAGTTGGGAATGACTGAAAGACATTAAAGCCACATAAAAGCAAGAACCAGCCAATTAAATGTTAAAAATGAAACAGATCACCTTTTTTGTTTGTAAAAGCACAGAAAATTATAACTCACTAAAAATTTTTCTATTTGCACTCCTCTATAAGACATTCTAGTGTCTTAAATTATTCTGTAATTATTCTGTTATGATAATCTGATTTTTAAGGCCTGTATATCATGTTATTGAAACATACTATTTTCTGTGTGGTAAGAATGTCTTTATGAAAAAAACAACATATCTGGTTGTAAATCAGAGAATAAGCCCCCAAAACAAAAATCTGACATTTTTCAAGCTAGTGAAAAATAAATTATACTGTGATGTATCAACTTAAAACTATATCAATATTAACAAGCATTTTTATTGTAAATTTTTCCCCCCATAAAAATTAAACAGTGCAGAATAGGGCTTGGGCTACAGTTAATCACATTTGCTTTTCTGAAAAACAAAACCTTATTTACTACAGACAATTCAAAGACAATTTTCTTCCTCCACAACACATGTAGACATTAAATCAAAGGTTTTTAAAATATCCACTACCTATAAGAAAAGTACTTTTAAATGACTAAAAGGAATCAAAATACCAAAGTCTAGTGTGCAAAGAGTAGATATAAAGAACCAAGAAAAGAGTAGATCATTGGTGTTGAATATTTAACATGAATAGCCCAAAACAAGTTTCAAAGTTTTTATACCTTTACAAATAGAAAAAGGTGTCCTTTCCACAACAAGTATATGAGTAAGGTTTTTAAAATGTTGCCAATATTCAGTTCTTCAGTACTTAAATTTAATTAGGGGACAGCAATATTATAGTGGCAATGGTGCATCAATTCTCAAAATGTAGTTATGATCCAACACGAGTTGTGGTGGTTCTTTTGTCTGAGAAAAAGCTTTTTAGAAGAAACACTTGCCCTATGCTAACCACCAGAAGAATGAGGGCTTCTCCTACTGACCAATAGGCCACTCTTGTATTTAGATCTTCTGCTCGGCTTCGGCCTTGAGCTTCTCTCAGACGGAAATGAGTCTGATAGTCGATGACAGACTTCAGAGCTTCGTGAATTGAAACACAGGCAGATTCCATCTAAAGAGAAAAACTTCCAGTTAGTATGTTTAATATTTCTGTACAGTTCCTCTAGCCTATTCATCTTTTCTTTCAATCTGATCTTAACTCCTCATTTGATCAACATTCTACTAAACCGGCACTCATTCATTCACTCATTTATGCTAGTGGTCCTGGCAATGCAACCCTTTTACTCATTCCGGACAGGACAACTGGTTAAGGATAGAGATCCCATGAAGCAGCTGCTTGCCCCAAACTGGAACGTCACAGCTGTGGTATCTGTAAGCTGGTAGATGGGACACAAAGCTAACAGTAGCAGAAATACTTATCAGTTAAGGTTGCTGGCTATAGAATTTCAAACCCAGACTTCTCAAAGAGGAAGGATTAAGAGGAAGAAAATGGCAGATTAGTAAATGTGACCAATAAGAATATAAATCGAAGTCCAAATATATACAAAAATAAGCCAAATATGACATAAAAATAGATTGAGTTAGTCAAAAGTATTTTAACTATTTTAAAGTGTTGAATCTGAAAATGATAGGTTAGAGTAGGAATGTCTTTTTTTTTTTACATTTATCAATTTGCTAAGTAAGTCTTTTATCTCATGCTAGTCAACTAAACCAACATATATGTTTCAGTTTCACTGCGTAATCGGTATATAAGTCTTCATCTGATACTTTACCTTTTTATACATTAATTATACCATCTGACATGAGAAGGGCTAAATGTCTAATTTTTTTTTTTTTTTTTTTTTTGTATACCAGAGCTTAGTATTTTTCTACTGCTGAAAACTAAATCCTGGTGATGAAATACATGCTTTATTATTGTATTACACTTACTTAACATCACAACCACACATTAAGAATTTTAAAAACAATCTGAATTTGTCTTAATTTTAATTTAAGAATATAGATACTAGGAAATGATCTTCAAATTGAATTTACCTTTATACTACCCAAATGTTTTTGCTGTTCTTTAATTTAGGCACCAAGGAATGAAAGATTAGCAAAACTGTGCTAAAATAAATTACTTCTAATTTGTGATAAGAGGCTAGAAGGTGCTTCTAGAATTTCTTTGCTTTCTATTTATTCTCAAAATGATATGTGGTCTAAGGAGTCTCCTCCTGGAAAGTGTGAGTAAAAGCAAGGACTGGACACAAATTCAGAATTGTTAAGGATTTCTTGAAGCTTGACCAACAGGGGCAGAATGGCTCAGCTGGTGAGAGCACGTGCTCCTAACAAAGTTGCCAGTTCAACTCCCGCATGGGATGGTGGGCTATGCCCACCTACGCCTCCCCACAACTAAGATTGAACACAGCACCTTGAGCTGAGCTGCCCTGAGCTGCCTACGGGTGGCCAGATGGCTCAGTGCGAGCTGTCTATGGGCATGGGATGACTGGACTTGGAGCTGAGCTAGCTGTGCCCTCCACAACTAAGATTGAAGGACAACAACTTGGCTGTTCCCCTTCCCCAATTCCCCAATAAAATCCTAAAAATAACTAACAACAAAAAGAACTGCTGGATTAGAGAAAACCGCAGAAATTAAGGTACTACTTGCATGGATTCAATACAATTTTTTTTAAATTTTTATTTATTTATTTATTTATTTATTTCTATTTTTTAAATTTTATTGGGGGACAACCATGGTCATTGGTTACACATTGCTTTCATGCTACAATGGCATAGTTGACTCTTTTAAGGAGGGTGCAGCTCAGTGGCCCATGCGGGGATCGAACTGGCAACCCTGGTGTTATCAGCACCATACTACAACCAACTGAGCCTAACCAGTCATTCCCTCAATACAATTTTTGAGATGGTGTTCTTGTTTTCCTTTTTTATTTTTTTGGTACTTTTAAAAAGTATATAGAATAGTACAATGCAACTCCATGTCAATAATTAACACATGGCTAATCTTGTTCCTTCTATTGTATATTCCCTACCTATTTTCCTCCCCAGCCCTCAATTATTTTAAAGCAAATCCCAGATATTTTATAATTTCAGCTATACTTTTATATTTTATATTTATTTCTGAAAGGTAACACTTTAAAAAAGATAGCTCCAATAGCATTACAACACATTAAATAATTAAAAATAGTTTCTTAAAGTTCTCAAATATTAAGTTAGTGTTCAAATTTCTCTAAATGTCTCAAAAGTTGTTTACAAATCAGAATCCAAACAAGATCAACACAATCATTTGGCTCATATGTCTTTTAAGTCTTCTTTAATCTTTAGGTTCTTTTTCTTTTTTCCCTTTCCATCTATTTGTTGGAGAAATTGGGGCCTCTCTCCTAGGCATTTCCCACTTCATGGATTTCGCTGATTATATTCCCATGGTGTTCCTCTATCCTATGTATTTCTTATAAACTGGTAGTTGGAACTAGAGATTTGATGGGATTCAAATATAACGCTCTCAGTGGAAAGACCTGATAGGCAATGTTGTATACTCAATACTACCTATTATCAGAAGACACATAATGTGTAGTTATCTCTCCATTTGTGAATGATCATTAGACTTAGACTGATAGGTACCAGTCTGATCTATGCATTATCAAGCTTCCTATCAGGCATCCACCTAATAGTTTTAGCTCTAGATCCATTATTTTATTAATGGTTAAAAAATTTAGTAAAACTCTATCATTTATTTTGCATTTATTAGCTGGTAATTTTTTCAATTTCAAAGTATGAACAGCTGCTTTATACGCATCCCTGTTGTATGAGAGGCTTATTAGCTTTTTTTTTTTTTTTAAGCGCTGAGCCATCCTGCCTCCTGTTGGCAGCTCAGCGGCTGCTCAGCTCGGGCCGGGACTCGAACCACTGTTGCTCAGAGCTCAAACTCTTGAGCGAGCTCTTAACCAACTGAACCACTTGGCCGGCCCTATTATTAGCTTTCTGATAGTACAAAAAGTAAGATAAAAAAATGTGGTCTGAACAAAGAAGGTTAATTAGTACTAAATACTTTATAATCACTCATTTCTTACATTTTTCTACTTAGGTTTTAAGAGTAAGTTATCTTCTTGTACAAATTAAAATTCATGAAGGTTAAATTATAAACAATGGCCCCAAAGAGAAATCTTTTTACAAAGTGTCATTCACACAGGATGCTTAAATAAAGAGAACATTTCTAGAAATAAGAGCATTTTAATACATCTTGTTAAAGCCCACAATAAGTTTATGAATTAAGGCTCTTACACATTCTTAAAAAACTGCTTCTATAATCACATGACTGGCTAAAAGCCTAACTGGAACCTAGGAACAATGAAATACCAGTTTAAGGTTTTAACAAGTAGGTGTTAAATAATTCCTTTGAGTATCTAATTGAGTATATTTTACATATAATCTAAGCTCATACTGTATTTGAACTAGAACTAAAATAGCCCTTCTCATCACCTGAGCAGTATGTTTACAGACTAAATTTCTTTCACTATCTTTTCCCATTAAGCTCTTCTTCAAAATAAAACCCAATTTAGCTTCCACTTTTGTTAAATGACTTACCATTAATCTTTTAATATTTTATCTTAAGTTACAGCAAAAGTTATTGTAACAGCACCTTGAGTATTTTTATATATTAATTAAAGAATCATTTTACTTCTAGTACACTAATCTGCTAAGTTATGGTAGCAACATTACCCTATGAATCACAAAAAATGTTTCAGGATGTTAGAGTACTGTTTAGCCTTCCTAAATTTCCTTTGCCACTGATGTTTCTACCTAAGTGATCCTATTTTAATGCTTCTTTATTATCTTTACACTTAAAAGTTCATAAAATCTTTTAACACAAGTCTTCACTAAAAAGTCTGAGGTTCTCTGTAAAATACCTAATCTACTGAAAGAATTAAGATAGGTCTTATAGGTCTTAGAGATTGTGAAGTCTCAAAATTCTGTGTTCATCAATGAGTTAATGCATATTAAATTATGCTTTTTCTCCTCTTTACACACACCAACATTATATTACTGACTTTTTCTTTACCTGGGTAAGAGCACTGACGCGATTCTCACTAGGAAACAAAGGTGGGTCTTCTCCAACTTGAAAATCAAAGTATACAGTTTTATGTGTGAAAGTAGAAAATTCATTGCTGAAGCAAAATTTGTATGTCCCATTTTTGGAAGCTGTGAAGGTAAAACTATCATACTGTTTCTTCATCTCTTTGTATAACACATTACCATCGGGATCTTCTAATCGACAGTCTACATCATAGTGACCGCCAGTGATCACCTATAAAGAGAAACAAAAAATAAAGAGTTCGCTGTGACTAACAAGTTTTAGAAATTAACCAGATTTCCTGTTAAAATGGCAATAAGGTTACAGGCTAAGGACTTTTACTATTACAGACAATTTTACATTTTTTTATTTCCACCAGTGGGTGGACTTGGGAAGCAGATTTTAATTCAACTAAAGCTTTACAAAAACTGAACAAATTTCCTCATGACACGACAACGGGAACTGGCAAACTTGCCAGACAAGTATTCTAGTTAATGTAGGTCTCTTATATCACTTAATTCTCCCAACATCACTACAGGAGGGGTTTCCCCCTCTATCTGACAAACTTAGAAACTGAGTTAGGATAAGCAACCTACCCAACATTACTCATCTATGAGAAGCACAGGTAGAACTTGAACTCCAAAGTCGTACTCTTTACCCTTAAGCTTAGTGTCCCATAGTATTTCCCTTCCCCAAATTTTCTCACCTAGTTTCCTGTTAGTATCATTAGCACACACAGATAGTGCAGTGAGGGTGTGAAGTAGGTCAGTCCTTAGCATAACACCCAGCATACTTCCACCATAGAGCTAAACTCATTTTACTGCCCAATTACAAATGGGTTGTGCTTAAATTCCTTATGTCAGTTATATGTAATTTGATACATATTTCATTCCAAACTATACTATCAATTGAATAGAACTGTGGGCTGTGCTAAGAATATTATCATCATTTACAAACTTGCTTCCCAGAGAAACATCAATGATTAATCTATTTTTATACCCTAGGATTAAAGCCAAAACAACACAAAAACAAACAAAAAACCTTTCGTTTATCTGGAAAGCTTGTATTTAAGGGCAAGCATATTGAAAGGAAAGCCAGGGGTAGATGAAATGTTTCTGAAGAGGATTTTGGAGCTATTTTCAAGGGCTGATGCTTAATTAGTTACAATTTGGGCCATTTGGTTTGTACAAATGAAGAGAGGAGGAGCCATTTTTCCTGAAGTAACTGGACAAGCTAAGAGAAAAAAGGGGAAAAGGATTACAGAGGAGAAAGACCTCCTTATTTAAGAAAGAACTGAGTGGCAAGAAAGAGGGAGAGGGGACTGGAGAAAGAAACATAAGGTGTGTGTATCCACCTGAGGAAAGTGATGAGGAAGGGACACTGGGTTTGAGGGCTCCCAACTACGACGAAATGGGTGGCACCAGCCGCCTGTATTTTCAAGCTTGAACACCCTTGGTTAGCATAACATTGACTCTAGATCTATAGAACAGAGATCAAACTTTGGATTTCAAAGAAGGGTTGGTTACTTATGTGACCTTTTATCAGATAATATTACAGGATCATTTTGATAATTATATGAAATATAATTATGCACTTAGGAAATTATAAAAATATGTAAATATTAATATACAAATAAAATGTTTTGACATAAAAAGTGTCTTTATCAAGTGAGCTTTTACACCTCCCCCCAAAAGTCAACTACCTTTCTTCCAGGCGAAAATAATGACTTCATTTTATATACCCAATTATTCATATTGACCATTGTACTCTGAATAATTAAATACGTACATACAAACTGAACAGTATCCCAACTGATCATCACGCCACTTTTCTTCCGTCAAACTTTAAAACAAGTAATCTCATTTCAAACAAAAGTTCCCCTTTACAACCTAAGTCATGTTGAGGTAGAAGAAACTGGGAATCATCCCAAATTCAGTGTCCCTACCTTCCAGTTAATCACAGGAGTTTCTTGATGTTATTGCGTTTCTCAAATTCATCCCATCCCCTCCATTCCTAATCCACAATCCAGACTGGATTACTGCCACAACTTTCTAAAAGTTCTTCCCACAATCCAATCTCTCCTCCCTGTAATCAAGATTTTCTCAATCTGGTTAGATAATCTTGGACTGGATAACTCTTTGTTGTAGGGGACTGTGTTGCCCAGTGCATTCTAGCACGTTTAGCAGCATCTCTGGTCTCTATCCACTAGATGCCAGTGGCACCCCCATACCCCCACATCTCCAGGGCTGGGGTGGGAGCAACCTCCCTACCCTTCCCCTTCCCCATTTGCTTAAAACCTTAAAATAAAATAAAAAAAAGACTATTGGTGAATTGGGGAAGGAGAACGGTGTTGGGGAATTGGGGAAGCCAAGTTGTTGTCCTTCAGTTTTAGTTGTGGAGGCACAGCTAGCTCAGCTCCAAGTCCAGTCGCCATCCGGCCTCCCAATGGCAACTCGTGGCCACTCAGCTCAAGGTGCCGTGTTCAATCTTAGTTACGGGTGGGTGTAGCCCACCATCCCATGCAGGAGTTGAACAAGCAACCTTGTTCATGTGCTCTCACCAGCTGAGCCATCCTGCCACCTGCTAGCAGGTCAGCAGCAGCTCAGCTCAGGCGCAGCTCACTGGCCCATGTGGGAATCGAACTGGCGACTCTGTTGCTCAGAGCTCGTGCTTTTAACCAACTTGAGTCACTCAGCTGGCTGTGCTTAAAACCTTTTCAAAATGGTTTTTATTAAAAAAAATATAGCTAAGGGGCTGGTGAGTTGGCTCAGTTGGTTAAGAGCTCGCTCAAGAGTTTGAACTCTCAACAACAGCGGTTCAATGCCCGGCCCGAGCCGAGCAGCCGCTGAGCTGCCAACAGGTGGCAGGAGGCTCAGCTTAAATAAATAAATAAAATATAGCTAACATACCACCTTATATCAGTTTCAGGTGTATACCATAGTTGTTCAACATTTATATAGCTAAAGAAGTGATCACTGCAAGTCCAGCAACCATCTTACACCCCACCAAGCTGTCATATTGTTGACTATATTCCCCATGCTGTACATTACACCCCCATGACAGATTTGTTTTATGCCCAGAAATTTTGACCACTTATTGCCCTTCACCTTTCCCCTGCCTTTTTAATTTTGAAATTACAGTTTACATTTAATATTTTTATATTAATTTCAGGTGTACAGCACAGTGGTTAGACATGTTTACAATCTAAGAAGTGATCCTGTCTAGTCTAGTACTCATCTGTCATGGTTATTACCATATTGATTATATTCCCTATGCTTTACACCCCCATGACTATTTTGTAACTATTAATTTGTACTTCATAATCCCTTCACCTTTTTCACCCTGTCCCCCATCCATCACCCCCATAAATTTAGTACCCATCTGACACCATACATAGTTATTACAATATTATTGACTATACTCCTTATGCTTTACATCTGCACTAACAGTGGCAAGTTAAACAGGGTTTGTTTGCTAAAGGATCACGGGACCCAGAATGACAATGCTTATAAATCTAGTTTATTACAGAAAAAGAATACAACATAAACATCACAGCCAAAAGGTGTCTCACAGCAAGAGGTCAGGAGAGGTTAGGTGTTGGTTTCTTTGTTCTCCCTCTGTGAGGGCTGTGGCCAGAGATATACTCGGTACTCTCTCAGAGATCGGGAACCATCAAGTGTACTAAAGGAATACCTTGGAACCAATGAGCCCAAGAGTCTTGGCTGAGTTTTTTATATTTTGCTGGTCACATATTCCTGTTATGTAACCTAACCAGTCTTAATACCAAGCCTCTGTGGTCTCAAAGAGACCAGGTGCAAATCATCAATCTCACTGTTATCAATAAACAATGCCGACAAACTGGTACAAACTGGTCCCTAAAGCCCTGGGACCCAGTTATAAAGTAACACTATTACTCAGTGTACTTCAGTGGCAGCTCAGGCTAATTTCAGGCCTGCTGGAATTATGTCTTACTAACATTATCTGCCTAGGATGTCCTTTCCCTCCTAACACCTTGTAGAATAACTCTTATTTATCCTTCTAGACTCAAATCAAACATCAGCCCCTCGGCCAAAATTCCCCTAATGATCCTTCCCCCCTCAGCCAGCACTATACTGAGGAGGACCAAAGTTCTGCTACCTCAAAAATGAGCCTTTTGGGATATTGATTTTAAGCTGGTTATTAAGAAACAAAAGACTCAGAAGGAATTTGTTACCTCCCCCTTTCCTGCCTAAAGAGATTCAGATAGAAAACCCTGCTTCAAGAAGGGAACCTTAGCATAATCATCTTAGCATATTCACGTTAGCACATATGAGAGAAAGAAAGCTAGAAAAGCTTGTTTCCTGCCCTCTTTCCCATTGTTTCTGGATTGCCTAGCAGGAATTTGCCAAATGTGTCTTGTAAATTGCCTGGCTACTGCCACCTGTGTCCTGTAAGCTGCCTGGCTACTGCCACATGTGTCCTGTAAGTTGCCTGGCTACTGTCATGAGTGCCCTGTAAGTTGCTTGGCTACCTGTGAATTGTCTATTTCCCCTTTGAAATCCCATACCCCGTCCCTATCGTCTCCTTTGTCCAGCATGGCATTTAAGCCTCAACTGCCCAATGTGAGTCTCATATCTATGACACCCCGGCATTTACACCGGTAATAAACTTTGTACATTTCCTCCTGTTAGTCTGCCTCTGTTAATTTGATTATTAGCCTAACCAGAAGAACTTAGAAGATGGGAGGAAAGTTACTTTTTTATGCCCCCACAATACCTAGTGTGTATTTACCTAACATCATGTCTATGTAAGCTCTCTGAAGTCAAAGTCAGTCTTATCTGTGGGAAATATTGGGTTGTCAGAAAAGTCATGACGTATTTTTTCTATGCTTTTCGTTGCAAAAATGTGTCATGATTTTTCCGACAACCCAATAGTATAACAAAGTTGTTAAGAATTTAACCTGAATCTGCATACTGATTCTGCTACTTGCATCTTGTGTTTTCTGACCTTGTGTCTTAACCGATGGAAGCCTGTTTCTTCCTTAGTAAAAAAGGACTATACCTATTTCATATCGAGTTGTCCTGAGAATTAAGTAATATAAGTAAAACCTTGGATTGAGAGTAACGTGGTTTGCGAGTGTTCTGCAAGACAAGCAAACATTCAAATACATTTTAACGTGGTCAACGAGCGATGTCTTGCAATACAAGTAGTTTGTTTCCAGAACGAATTATGCTCGCAAACCAAGGTATTACTGTATCTGAAATACTTGGCATTCTGTCTGCCACATAACACATGCTAATTTTTTAGCCCCTAAGAGTAGTAGCATTCTCAGCACCAGGCACAGTGTCTGCACATACAATTCAAGAAATGTTTATTAAATTCAAACAAAATTTTCACTGACACTTTGTTACAATTGCTGCTATCTTCTTTTTGTCCCCTGGTCCTAATCCATGCAGTTAAGTAAGCCTAAGGGTCATCCTTAACCTTTGTTCCCTCACTCACTCTAGTCAAATCATCACCAAGTCCTGCTGATTTTACCTACTAAATTCTCTGCAATCCTTTCACTTTTCTCCTTATCCACGGCTAACACCCTAGTTCTAGGCCTGGACCACTAACTACAATAGCCTCCCAAGCAGTCTGTATATACAATGTGTAACACCGTCTCTACCTGCGCAAGTTAATATCCATATAGCTACCAACATCTGGATCATTTCATTGCACTGCTTACAACCCTCTGTTGGCTTTCCATACTATTAGGAAAAACTAAAATCCTTAACACAGCCAGGAAAGCACTACATGGTCTGCCCTGATCCCCCAGTCTGGCTCCTTATTCCCAAATTCACAGGACCTCTCTATGGTCTTCAGATCCCCAGTCACTCTTACCACAGGGACCTTGCAATGGCTACTCCCTCTTTTCCCTTACCAAAGTATTTACAACTCATTCTTTACAGTTCAGCTTAAAATCACTTCCTAAAGGAAGCCTTCATATAGATCCCAAAGACCAGATTGTATAACCCCTATTTTCTGCTCCTAAAGCTCAATTTTGATGAATGAGCAGATACTAATTAAGAAGGGAATCAAGAATGATGGCAGGGATCCTACCTGTTTTGATCACTTCTGTATTACAGCATCTATCATTCAACAACTACTCAAATGTTAAATAGGTCTACCAAAAAGACAAGGAACAGAGTAAAGATTTTTCTAACCAACTTAAACTACATTCTGTCAAATGAAGTTTCCTTTCTTTCTTTTTTTTAGACTTTATAATCTCAAAGACGAGAAGGGGCCTCTCAATTGTCGCAGCAATTCTTTCTACAACACCTTTGGGAGATGGTCATCCGGCCTCGAATGATGCTCTTCCAATGACTAGGGACCACCTTAACCAAGAGTCCTAATATCAATGGAAAACTAGCAGGCAATGGAGTTAGATATTGGTAGCACTTCAAATATGATTGAAGTGGAAGTGTGGATTAGAGAGTGAGGGACTGACACTGGGCACTATAAGACAGGAATAATATATAAAAGGAAAGTCTTTTAGGTAAGAAACGTCAATGGCCTTCAAATTACGAGCATTAGAGAATGGAAGGAAAAGGCACAGTTACAGGAAGCATTTCTGGAACTCATGTATCTTACTATTTGGTCTTAACTGTTTCTTGCCCAAGGTTTAGAAAATGAAAGCTAAACGATCAGTTATCAGCTACCTAAAGGTGATTCCTGAATCAGCCAAAGAATGGAGGAACAAGGCCAGGAGGTGAGGCAGCAGCAGGTTGCAGCCCGAACCCTGGAACCGCGAACTGCGGCCCCGGGACTGCCGGGGCCTGTGCAGTACCTGGAACTCGAGGGTGCACTTGGTTCCCTGCGTGATGTCCTCGTAGAAACACTGCTTGGCATTGTCAGGCAGCTCGAAGGTGATCTCAGAGGCGCCGCCAGGTCCCGGCACCAGCAGCAGCAGTGCGAGGAGCCTGCAGCCCCAACGGCCCGCGACGGCCGCCCAGCGTTGCGCGGACCCCAGCCGCGGCATCCCGAGGCGGCGGCGGCTGCCTCCACGGAGCTGCGGGGAAACGCGGGGTCAGGCCTGCGCGGACTCAACGAGCACGGCAGGCCTCAGCCCGGGCCGCTCCGCGAAGACACAGGGCAGAGTCGCTCCGAACCTCGGAGAGATTCCGGATGAGGAGCGAACCGCTGGGGGCGGCTGAGGGGTGCTGAGGGACCCGGACCTAGTGCAGGGAACGACCTGGGAAGCAGAGATTAAAACAGGCAGGGAACAAGCGGAAAGGGCCTGAGGTGGCCGGAAGTGGAGGCGAGTACTTGGGGAAAGAGGCGGGGCCTGAGGCTTCAGCGACCCGGATGTGCTCTGCCGAGGCGGAGGGGAGAAGCGTTGGAGTGCGTACGTGGAAGCTCGCGAGGGGTCGGGTCATCTTACACCGCAGCCTGGGTAGAGGGGCGGGGCTAGCGTATTGAGCGGGGCGGGGCGGAGCCAGAAGAAGGGGTGTGGCCGGCGGGTGTCCTCTCAGGGCGTCGGGTGTTAGGATCTACCAGCCTTGAGAGTGAGATGCCGATTCTTGTGTGTTTGTGAGAGCTGAGCGCTGGGGAAACTCCGAGGGAGAGATGAAGAGCTGATTTCGCCCTAGGGGACTAACCACCGATGGTAGTAGAATGCTTTGCTGTTTGCAGAGAATTGTGTCATAAGTAATAACAAATTTGGGGCGAAGCAGCTTAGCAAAGAGCACGAATTCTGGGACCACCAGACTGCAGGAGTTCTAACTCCTCTGCTACTTACTGGCTGTGTGACTTTGGGCCAAACCTCTCTGTGTCAGCCTTTGCATCAGTATAAAATAAGGACCATAGTACCTAACCCAGAGGATTATTACAAGGCTTCAATATTTGGAAAAAGTACTACCAGAAGAGTGGTTGTCACTAGATAGGCTTTTGTTAAATAAAAATAAACATCTATTTAGCACTACATATCATCAGGCACTGTGCTAAGCACAGTACTTTTATTGTGTCTTTGGATCCTTCAAACAACCCTATAAAGTAGGTCTTATGTCTATTTTACTGATGAGGGAATAGGGAATCAAAAAAGTTGAATAAACTTGCCTGTGATCCCACCACTGGTTTGTGTTGGATATGCTTAAAAAAATAATAATGGGTAATTACACATGTTTTTGTGCATATAAACACGAATTCGGTATTATACCGCTTTTTTTAAGTGACGGCGGTGAGACTCACGCACTTTAAAATGCAGAGATAGTAGGTAGGGATTTTTATGAGAAGGAAATAGAGGCAGGTGGGTAGGAACCAAGCAGGGAACAGAGAGGGTAGTGTGAGGGGGTGGGGTAGGGAGATGGGATGGAGGATGAGGGATAGTGGGGGAGCCTAGTGGGGGTGGGGTGGAGGGTTGTTGATGAGCAGGGAGACCCAGAACTTCCTTTGGCCTGGAGTGCCTGAAGCCTCTGCAAGGGGAAAGGAGCCCCGTGGAGGTGAAATTTGGGGACGATCGCACCCTCCTGAGAACTGGGCCAAAAGGAAGCATTATTTCTTCTGTGAATGGAAAGAAGACCGAATTTCAAAATACAAAATGTGGCTTCTATTTTCTAAGTCTTGAATTTGGGCAAGTAACATTGCTCTTCTAAACTTCAGTTTCTTCATACATAAAATGGTAATACAAAAAAAACAATGAATGAATGAGATTAAAACCACAATGCAATACATTACATACCACCCAATAGACAACAATTTTAAATTGCAACAATACCAGATATTGGTGAGCACATAGAGCAACAAGATCCCTCATACGCTGCTGGTAGAAAGGTAAATTGGTACAACCACTTTGGAAAACAATGTAGCATTATCTAATAAAGTAGAATATATAAATTCCGCTTTGCATATAATTTATATACTTTAGAGCTGTGGTTCTCAAATGTGCTCCAAAAACCTCTGGGAGCCTCTGAACCCCTTTCAGAGGGCCTGAGATCATCTATGTGAAGCTGAGTTTTCATCATATATCTCAACCGAAATAACATATAATGCACTGAATATAAAAGCATATGAACACCCAGCTTTTTGTATAAATCTAAGTATTAAAGAGGTTCACACAAATATAAAACAATGTTACTCTTATCACTAAATTTTTATTTGGAAAATATAGCCACTGTAAAAAAAAAATGTGTTGTGTTCACATGTATAGTGGGTTGAATTGTGTCCCCCCAAAACACACGTGCAAGTCATAACTCCCAGTTCCTATCAATGTGACCTTACTTGAAAATAGGGTTTTTGCAGATATAATTAAGAATCTCAAGATGATATCATCCTGGATTTAGGTTAGGTAGTAAATCCAATCACTGCTGTCCTTGTAAGAGAAAGGAGAGGGAGACTTGAGTCATGCAAACAGACGCGCAAGGAGAAGGCTGTGTGAACACAAAACAAAGATGGCAGTATTCATCCACAGGCCGAGGAATGCCAAAGATTGCCCAGAGCCACCAGCAGCTAGGAGAAAGTCATGGGGCAGATTCTTCCTCAAAGCCTCCAGAAGGAACCAACCCTGGAAACACTTTGATTTCAGACTTCTGGCCTTCACAACTATGAGAGAATAAACTTCTGTTGTTTTATGCCACCATGTTTGTGGTAAGTTGTTATGGCAGCCTCAGGAAATGAATACATGTAATGGGATTATTATTATTTTAAGTAAATTATTCAATAAATATTTTAAGTGTCTCAGGTCTCTAAAGTTTAAATTTTTTAATTAAAATTATTTATTAATGTGTCTGATTTTAAAGATTCTGGGATCAAAAATTTGAGAAGCACTGCTTTACAGAAACTCACACACAGGTACACCAGGATACATATACAAGAATATTTAAAGCCAAAGCCTAATAATAGTCCCAAACTGAAAATACCTGAAGTATCCATAAATTTTGGTATATACAGAATATAGAGGCTGACAATAGGCCAAATGAAATGATACTGTTTTCCCTAATACATGGTGAAGCGATCCAAAGAAGCAAGGAAATGATATTCTCAAAAGTCAAGACAGTGGGGGAAGATGGGGTAATAGGAGAGAAGCAACAAAGAGCTGTGAGCTGGTGGGGAGGGATGGCTTCTTTGAGGCTGACAATGCTCTTTTTCTTGAGCTAGGGCTGCTTACATTTATTTCTACTTTATAATTACTTGTTAAAAGTACACATATTTTATGTACTTTTCTGTATGTATATGTCACAACAAAAAAAGGAAAAATTAATATGCTGGGTGTATCAGCCATTATTGTGGAGAAAAAAAGCTCAAAACTTATGGCTTACATACTATGTAATTTTTACTGCTCGAGAAACTATAGGTCAGCTGGGTCTGCTCTTATGTAGACTCACTCATTCATGGTCACTTGGGGGTTGGATGGACAGCTTTGCTCATCTCGGCTGGGCTTGCTCATATTTTGGTGGGATAGCTGATTATGGGCTAGAATGGCCTTGGCTAGGATAATTGGACTCTCCTCCATGCAGTAGCCTCTCATCCTCCAACAGGCTAGCCCGGAATGGTACACACAGTGGTTATGGCGTTCCAAGGGAAAGAACGTGCAAGGCTCCTTGAGGCCCAGACTCAGAAATGGGCCTTGTCACTTCTGTCTCATTTTACTAACCAAAGCAAATTACAAGGCCAACCCAGATTCAAGCGACAGGAAGGAGCTGCAAAGACCCTGTCTCAGTCAGGGCTCCATTAGAGAAGCAGAACCACTAGAAGGAAAAACAACAACAAATATACGTACGCATATATATATTTATATTTGTGTGTATATAAATGCATATCTCTATATAAAACATTGAATATAAACATCTTTTTATATTTATATAAAGTAATCATTTGTATATATTTAGTTATTTGTATATACATATGTATATATACATATATGTATATATATGTAAAATAAGGAGCTGACCATAGGAATTTGACATTACTTATTGTGGTAGCTGGTTAAACAGACTATGAAAGGCTGTTGTTTCTTCCTCTGGTGCTGGAGCCTGCAGTTTGCAGATAAAGCAATCAAGATGAAAAGGTGGATGTGAAGTTGAAGAAGGGGAAAAAACTGGACCTGCGAGGATGAGCCACAGCCCACATCACTTTCTCACTGCCCGCAAGCTTCCAACTTCAATGATGAGTGGTCTGCAGGAAAAGCAAGTGTTCTTCTTCATGGATTTAAATGTGCACCTGGCCCAGAGTCAGAGAAGCTTTGGGCGTAGAAAGGAATATTGCTGTTGCCTCCCCACTTTTGTCTTTCAGAATGTCTCTTGTGGACCACTAACCCCCAACTATGAGGGGACAGAATTCTAAGAAAGACTAATTCCAGCTGAGCTAATTTAACACAGTACAAATCTACCACACACACTTTGCATGTTGGAGAGCAATGTAGGCACTAGAGTCATCCTTCAATTCTAGTATTTTTAGAGGTAGTCTATCTACTGTTTTAAATAGGAAAAATACTCATGCATTTCATATGCATACAAAATCCAACCAATTTTCCTAAATATCAGTAACAACAGTTTCCAACTTCTGTAATAACCCGTAAGTGTATCTGCATGATATAAGCATTTAAAATACTAATCATCCAATTATCTAACACTTAATGGGCTCATCAATGGTATGTTTGTATGCAGCTCTCAAGGATATTATATAATATCACATATGAATCATCTTTTCCTTCTATACTGCAATGGACATGCACTGTAATGTAAATAAACAGGGACATACTATGTTAAAGATATATAACAACACTTAGGAAACTAAAATTTTATAAAACGAGACAATTGAAAAATAGTTACTTTCTAATTGCCCAAATGAGGTTTGGTGGTGGGAGGGAGGGGAGAGACATGGTCTTCGTAGAGGTTTGATGATGGGTAAAATTTGAGAGAGCGTGAACTAGTGAAAGAATTAAGTGACACAGTACCTGCCAGAGATATGACCAGGTCTAAATTCAAGGAATAGGTAGACAATCTTCTCAACTTGGCAATTAAGACACAGTGAATGACCGAGAAGCCTCACCTAAAGCAATAGGACAAAAACCAGAACAGCCAATAAAACAGCTCCTCAAAATGGAGAGCATTCTCTTATCTTGCAGTTTGTTCAGCTCCCGATAACAAGATTGGACATGCAAATGCATTTTTGAAGGTGATACTTCCATTCATGTCATAATCACAGTCATTTACAACACTAATCATTTCCCACTGTGGACAGGAAAGGGGCCACAGGTTAAACCTGACAAGCTCAGGAAATAGAAAATAACCACATAAGATGGCATGAGCATAAAAACTTTCAGAACCAAGTGGGC